GTATAAATTGTCTCAATCATTCAAAGGACTCAAATCTTCATCTGTTGCAAATCACTTGGAAGTGATCCGAAGAAACCAAGACTTTTGAAGAATAGAAGATTAGAAGATAGTTTTATCGAATCTTCAAAATTATGTGTAAAGGTATAACTTGTCAATTTTTAGCAAGTATAAAGCTCAAATTTATTTTCATACATCTCATCACTTGCATAAAAACTTCTCGAAATGAAATTGATTTTGGAAAATGGAATTTGTAACTTAAACCTTTTAAAACCAAAATCTGCTCATTTCGGTCGACCGAAAGGTACTCGACCGAAAATTTGAATTGGTCTGCCGAAACTCTAATGGTTGGAATATTTTACAACGGCTATATTGGGACTTCGGTCGACTGAAACCTATCAACCGAAAGTTCCTGCACTTCACTGTTTTGCTCTATAAATACATCTCTATTTTCTATTCTAAAACACAACTTACAAGAGATTTTTGAGAGTCTTCATATATTGAGAAATCATTGAGTTTACTTAAACTTTTATCCAATTCATTTATTATAAGAATTCTCATTTGAAGTGTAAATCTCTCTCTATACTTACTTTGTATTATTTTATAAGAGAGATTCATTGGTTGAAAACTTGGGCACATTGTTCTTAACTAGTTCATCACTCAACAAAGTTTTGCAACATAAAACACTTGAGCTTAAATGTTTACTATTTATTAAAGTGTTTTCCTAAACTCTCTAAACACTTGGCTTGATTATATCATTTGTCAAGAGTGTTCTTTCAATTGTAAAATTACCATTTATACTTTGGGGGTTTCGAGAGCCTTGTAAAAGCTCGATTGTTGTTAAGGATAGGTGCTCCTTGTTGTAAGTCACCTAAGGATAAGTGCTCTTTGTTGTAAGTCACTTAAGGATCAGTACTCCTTGTTTGTAAGTTACCATTATAATACATTTGGTCTTACTCGTGACGGAGAACTTGATAACGGAGGACGTAGATCATTGCTTTGAATCGAACCTCCATAACATGTCGTTTGCATTCTCTATCTCTTTTACTTAACGCATTTACTTCGCACTAATTTATATTGTTCTATTTACGCGTTTACTTGTATTTAGATTATTTGCGTATTCACTATTTACATATCGTTTGCATTCTCTATCTCTTTTACTTAACGCATTTACTTCGCACTAATTTATATTGTTCTATTTACGCATTTACTTGTGTTTATAATATTTGCGCAGTCTCTATATTAGAATCTTGAGTAATTAACGAAAAAGTTTCAAAAACCAATTCACCCTCCTCTTGGTTAGTTATTCTTGGGCTAACAAGCATGCTGAACTTGCAACTCCCGAAGCATTCCACCATGGCCATCAATTGATTATCTAAGAGTATCGATATGGCCATTGAGAAGATTGTAGTGATCATCGGTAAACGTAAAGCTACTGCCCGAAGATGCAGGGATATTGGGGCCCAGAATGTCATGAGGAGGAATAGGAGCTTCGGTTCGTCATCGTCATCACCATCAAAGGGCAAAGTCGAAGGACCAGAGATGGGGTCAAACCCATTAATATGTGTCACCCACTGACCATCTTCTTTATTAATTTTCATATGTTTAAGTGTTTAAATGTTTATAGTGTCGGTAGGTCAAATTTGGACAAATGTCTCATCATTTAAAAAAACATTAAAAGTGTTTAAAAATTTTATTGAGAAGCATGACATATGGTAAAGCTTTAACGTGACGTGAAGAGTGGGCAAGTTTTATGTGGCCTAATGCAATGGTGGGAAAATCAAGTTTCCTATCGACAAGAAAAGAGTCGAGAAGAAAGAGATCAAAAGAACTTGCATATGACCCTTTCGTGGTAGAATAACATTTGCAATGATATTTTGTAAAACTTTGTATGGAAGAGTCAATTGACTCGCACTAACTTTCATGATATTTTTCAAAAAAAAATCCGATGACTTGACGACAAGCCTCGGTAGGGTCATAGCCGTCTAAAGTAGGATGTGCCTCGTGAAGAAAAATCTGTGTTTCTCACACTTCAAATTCTAAAATGTCGCTAATAAGAGCTTTGTTGATGACAATGTGTTTATTTTTAATTAAACATGAAATGTCATCGGAACGGGGAGTAGTAGCCATGTTTTTATAGAATTCCTTCATGAGCCGTGGGTATGCATGTTTTTCTAAAGTGGCAATTGAAATCCAACCCATGTTTTCAAAAAATTCTTCTATATGAAATGCAGGAACTTCAATACTAAAATCCGCAAAATCAATATTTTTACCTATTAAGATTTAGGATTTTTCAAATGGGTTGGCCGGCACCTCGAGTTCTAAATTGAACTCTTTGTCCGAGGATGGTGGAGGAGATCGCCTTACCGTGCTCTTAATCCTCTTTCCTGTCCATTTTGAATTTGATGAGGGAGGGAAGAAGTGGACTGAGGTTCGGATTTTGGGGGAATGTGAGATTTGGTAGATGAAAATTTGAATTTTGAAAGAATTTGAAGTGTAAAGTAATGAGTTTTTTATTTTGAATAGTAATTTATGATTTGAGTGGGAAGAATGAAGAATAGAGATGAGATTTAGGGAGATAATTGAGAGAAAATGGAGAAGAAATTATTCTGGTTTGCAAATTAGGGTCTTTAATCTCGATTTACCGGACATCTAGTTCATCATCTGAACATCCGGTTGACATATCTAAAATTCTTTGTCAAATCGGATGGGGTTACCGGACTTCCGGTTCACTCGTTCGGTCTTACCTTTTTTATTTTAAAATAAAATAAAACAACTTAGATCACATAAGTATGCTACAAATAAAATAATGAAGATAAAACACATAGTTAAGAATTTAACTTGGTCGTGCACTTTGAATTCATAAATAATGCCCAAGCCTGTTCTAATATGTGAGAACCGATCAAGAGCTAGTGATTTAGTGAAGATATCGGCCAATTGATTTTCTATGTTCACAAACTATAACACGATATCACCCTTTTGAGCATAGTCTCTTAGGAAGTAATGTCTAATTTTAATTTGCTTCATCCTAGAGTGCAAAATAGGATTCTTTGACAAGTTTATGGTACTATTGTTATCACACATGATAGATATATGATCAAAGAACAAGTGATAATCACTAAGAGTTTGTTTCATCCTTAATACTTGTGCACAACAACTAGCGGTCGAGATATATTCGACTTCTATGATAGACAATGCAACGAAATTTTGTTTTTGCTAAACCGTGATACAAGTACAGAGCCTAGAATATGACATGTTTCGCTAGTACTTTTACGATCGATGGTGCAACCAGCCCAATCAATATCCAAATAGCTAAGTAGATCAATATGAGTGTCCTTGGGGTACCAAAACCCTAAAGTTCTAGTGCCACTAAGATATCTAAAAATTCTTTGTACGGCCTTAAGATATGATTCTTTAGGATTCGATTGAGATATAGCACATAAGCACACACTAGGTATAATATCGAGTCTACTTGCGATTAAGTAAAGAAGAGATACGATCATACCTCGGTATTTTGTTATATCAACAGAAGTACATTGGTTATCCTTGTCCAATTTTATGGATTTGCTCATAGGAGTGTTCATTGGCTTCAAGTCATCCATGTCGAACCTCTTGAGCATGTTATACTTACTTTGATTGATGAAAATTCCATCACAAGTTTGCTTAATTTGGAGACCGAGAAAGAATTTAAATTCTCTCATCATACTCATTTCAAATTTCTTGCTCATGCATTTAGAAAACTTTTCACAAAAGTATGTGTTAGTTGCACCAAATATGATAATATCAACGTAAATTTGAACAATGATCATATCATTCTTTTTAGTTTTGACAAAAAGAGTAGTATCCCATTTTTTTAATTGAAAAACCATTTGAAATTACATTTCGGTCGATTTAGTTGATAGTTTGAATGTGGTTAAAAGTGTTAATTCTAGCCAAAATCCGTTTTTTGATGCATAGAGTTGTGATGTTCTATTTTATTTTTTATTTTTTTTGCTCTGTTTGGTGATGTCCAAGCCTAGTGCTTAGAATTTTGTTAACGCTCAGTTATTGAATTTTGCATTAGTTGGATGGCAGAGTTTTGGAGAATATTTACAGTTGGAAATTTTGATAGAGAATTTCATTTGTGTTATTGTTGAAGAATTGAAGTTTATTCATTGTAGTAAAATTTGTCTCCAGGTGGAGAATCTTTCAAGTTAATTTATTGCAGTGAAATTCATGTCAAGGTGAAATTTATTAAAATTAGAATGTAAACCGAATTCTATTTAGAATCATATTCGAAGTCTATTTGACAAATTCTAGTTGAAACTCTTTTTGAAACCCAATTGGAAATTAGAATTTATGTTGAACTTGAAGATGTCAAGATATTGACCAAAAGAAATCTTCGACGCCTAGCTGGTCTCTAACTTACCGCTTGAGCGACACTGTCAAAATTCTATAACGAGAGCTGGCGCCCGCCTAGCACTCAAGCGGTGCCAACATCGCCCGCATGGTACCCTTCTAGAGCTCAAGCGACGACTCGTCCAACCCATGCCTATTTTCACGCTTTGACTCATTTTTAGTACTCATTTCCATCTATAACTCAGGAAACACTTAAAATTTTCAGAGACGCAACATATATTAGTTATTTACACGATATTAATTAGGTAAAAATTAAAACCTCGTCACCAATCATAAGCATTTCAAATACCAATAAAGGATTAATAAATAGCACCCAACACAATTCATTAAGTGAAAAATAAAATCTTATTCATTACATTGAGTACGACCACATAGACTATTTGAGCATGGGGTATTTTGCCAATTTGGTATTGGCTATAATGTACATATTGGAGCGGCTCACGCACGAGAGGTTATAGGGGCAAAATACAGCTCTACAGCTATTAAACAGTTAATGACTTCTGACTAATCAATCTATATACCACGCATGCATCTGCTGTTTGGTTCAAATAAAAGAAGAAACTCAGATAATTATAATGATAAAACTCTAAAGGACCACATTTAATTTACTTTCGCCCCTCTGCTGCAGTTGTATTTTTCAGTATCTGCAACCAGAAATAAGGAGTTAGCACTGTTTTGGAGCATTGTTTTTAATGAACATAGGGGAACTAAGTCGAAGAGAAACCAGCAAGCAAATCATTACATTAGGACTGACCATGATTCTTTTTCTTCTTGTTACAATACTAGTCTAGTCCATCAAACTCGCTAAACTTGTATGTAACTTTGGAAGAACGAATGAAATTGAAATATTAGGTAGCTCACCTGTCTAAGCATTTGATTCTCATTTTGCAAAGTCGAAACCCTTTCTTCAAGTTCTGCATTCTTAGTTTCTAACTCTTTAACTCGACCCTCCAAATCAATCAAGTATGCCTTTTTCCTCTCCCTAGCTTGTTGCGCTGACACTCGGTTCCTCAACAACCTAACAACAAAAATAAACCACAAATGTCCCTCCCTTTGAGCAAAACTAATGTTGGGAGCAAAAACTCAAATCAGAAATGTAGCCGTTGGAATATTTGGCAGCTGGATTCTTTTTTCCTCATGTGGTAGTTTATATATAAATTAGGGAATAAGCTGCTTCGTCCATAATTTTGCCCACCTACTTGACAGTGGTGAAAGCACATGGATGGAAAAACCGACTGTTTTTTAAACGGTCAAACGATAGAACGCCACATGACATTTCGTCAAGAAATGATGGCAAAATTTTCTGGCAATATAGCTTGGTTCGTAAATTAGAGTGCAAATTTGATTCCACTCTAAAGAGTTTATCCCCCCATATACACTTTCTGGATAAAGTAGAATAGAATCGGTCTTAAAGTGGGCCTAATTATTTGTCACGTTACTTACCGTTTTAGCCTCTTATTTTCTTTGTCAGCTGGGCTTCTACCTCTCTTCCTTTGCCCCCCACCTGAAGCCTGAACCGGACCGCTTCCGGAAACTATTGGACATCCGCCCATCTCCGGCACTCTTCTTATTTCATCATCACTCTCCATACCTTCATAAATTTTCAAAAAAGTTACGGTTCTCTGATCAATAACAAAGTGACATCTCTGCTCTCTCTATGCTCTGTGAACTATGACCCAGATTTGCAAATCTCATATTCTTCGAAATCTCCAAAACCCAACAATATAAACATAATGCACTCGTGAATTATTCAATTAGTTATGCGTTTAATAAAAGAGTTACAATCTTTTTCCAGAAATTACAGGGCATGATTTGCAGCTAGCTGAAGAATTTACAGCACAGGTAACAAAAAAAAAAAAATTCAATTTTTTAATAAAAGACAAAGAAAAGAGAGGAGTAACAGTACGGGAACCTTCTTTGACTTCAACGTGAAGGGCAGAGCTGGAAGATCTCTCACTACTTGAAGGCAATGAACTGGCTGCAATAGAACTAGTAGCTTGGTCTTGCATTTCCTTAAAAATAAAACCAATCTAAAAATACAATGCAGAGAGAGAAACCAAAATAATTTTAGAGAAAGAGAGGTTTGTGATGGAATATTTTTAGCTGTCAGAAGGAAAGCAAAAATAAAAAAAGGGCGGGGTGAGAATAAGAGAGACGGGAATAGGAGATGGCGCTGAAGATGACCGTTGGATTGTCATCGATCGGACGGATATGGTTTGAGAAGCGTGGAATTTTGATGAACCATAAAGTGAGGGTTTAATCAAAGGCAACGCGATGGGAGTCGTGGAGTAATTGGATCCGTTCGATTAAATGTCATCTGATGTTCAGGAGTTTTTGGAGTAGGTGCATGAATGTTGACCATCGAATTAGGCTGCCTATTAAAAGTGCTAACGTTTTCAATGTATTGATACACAACTAATCTTCTCTTCATAATAGACAAAAAATATAGTCCCTGTTTCTTGCACATTTTAAGAGTAAAAATGTATTTTTATTGTTAATATGATGAGAAATATGTAGTTGAAAAAGAAAAAAAAGTTATTGATCAGATAAAAAATATTATTTTATTGAAAAATGTGAGATTGAAAATGAGAAAAATAATGTGGCTCAAATATGAGCATAATGTCTATCATCGATGTGACAACATACGACATTGCCATATCAATATTTTATTTTTTATTTTTTGTACTTTATTTCATATTGTTGATGTGGCAACGTCGATGATTGACATTATAACCTCATGTCCACTATGAGTAGGTCTTGTATGGGTGTGATTAAAATCAGATTAAAATTGAAAATATAGTCGTTATTGTTGACTTTTATTAGACTAGTGGGACCCAATAACGATCATATTTTCAATTTTAATTGGCTTTTAATCCCTCCCGAACGGAGCCTTAATCTTCTCTTCATAATAGACAAAAAATACAGTCCCTGTTTGTTGCACATTTTAAGAGTAAAAATGCATTTTTATTGTTAATATGATGAGAAATATGTAGTTGAAAAAGAAAGAAAAGTTATTGATTAGATGAAAAATATTATTTTATTGAAAAATGTGAGATTGAAAATGAGAAAAATAATGTGGCTCAAATATGAGCATAGTGTCTATCATCGATGTGACAACATACGACATTGCCATATCAGTATTTTATTTTTTATTTTTTGTACTTTATTTCATATTGTTGATGTGGCAACGTCGATGATTAACATTATAACCTCATGTCCACTATGAGTAGAAAATCAATTTTGTGCATTGACATATTGGGCCATTAGTCAGTAGTCACTATTGATTCTGGATTTCGGTTCACAAGCTAGTCATTCAAGTCATTTTTTTTTCTTTTCTTTTTTTTTTTTTATTTTTTTTGGTCCCAATTTGAAATAAATAATTAAATACCCTATTTGATATACCTTAAAATCTTGCAAAACATTCAAGTCAAAGTAATAACTAATTTTAATGTCATATTTCATGGGATCAATAACTTTTCAATCATATATTTTAGCTTTGTCAAATAGGGTGTAAAAACAATTTAATTTCTTGAATAATACTTCAAGTTGAAGTCAACTTTCTTGAATAATACTTCAAGCAGGCCGCTCCAATATTTCACCCCAATTTGGTTTAAATAAAAATCAATTTTTTAGTATTATTTCGATAAAAGTTGATGAAATATGAGATTAAAAATTTATGAAAGTTGCGAATTTTATGAAATGTGTGTTGGAAATGAGTTTTCGTAAAATGGGGACCAACCAGGGGTTTCATGATAGTCTTTGTTCGCTTCAAATACATTATGTCGTATCCCGCTTAGTCGAGGTTTCGGCTCCTCAAATATAGTTTCAAACTCGATGCGCTATGTGTCTACTTTACATAAAGTATGGGACCAACAATATTAATACAAACGAGATGAGGCGTTATTCAAAAGATTTGACTTACATGCGATCACAGATGCAAGGGAGTAAGATGATGTGTATAGTCTTCAATCCTCTCTACTTGTGGCCCTATAAAAAGGGACCTCCACTTTAAGAATCTACAAAAATACTATTCACACATTAAACCTTTATTTGATCCACATTATTTCCAAAATATATTTTTTTCCTCTTCTTTTCAATTACACATTCTTCAATAAAATAATATTACATGCAAACCTAAAACTTTTCCTTATTTTTTAATCATACATTTTCCATCAATCTACTATTTCAAAATGCATTATTAGCCAAAAATAGGATGGTTCGACCAGGCGCTAAATGTTTAAGCAATTGACAATTTTCATCATCCACAAGTACAATTGTATCAACACTTGGAAATATTAAGCCCTTGTTTAGGCTCCATTTTAATGAGTTTTTGAGAAAATGTATTTTGGAATAGTGATTTTTTGAAAAAATGTGTTGTTAAAAAAGAAATAAAAAATTTTGGATTACGTATAATATTATTATATTGAAAAATGTGTGGTTGAAAAAAAAGAAAGAGAAAAGTACATTATTTAAATGGAGCTCAAACAATGGCTAAGTAAAATTTATTAATTCATACGTTGAGGTGTTATTTAAACTAAAAACAACGTCAGCAAATTCCATATATTTTTAATAAAAGAAAATAAAAGAATGATGGAAATGGAGTTTTGTGCATATGAAATAATAATCCCCTTTCCCCGTTTCTCTGTCATGGTGATGGAGAAAAGTTCATTCACCATATGGTGATGTAATTGTTGGCTTTAGTTATATCTAGTATTAGAATTAGGGTGTTACCCAAATTCTATTCGAAAAATTACTTGAGAATTCTAGTTGATGTATATTTGGGAATTTAAGTTGAAATTCAATTTGGGAGATGGTAGTAGACTTGAAGAGGTCTTGAAAAAGTCCAATATGGATTAGAAAATGATTACGCAAGACGGTTGCTTGCTTCACTCGCAGGAGACGCTCCAGTACTTAGAACATGGACCCTGGTTCTCACTTGGGGTCGGCTACTGCTCAAGCTCCGCCAAGATGTAGCTCGAGCAGTAGTGATATCCGAGCGACTTTTAAATTCTATTTTTGGCATTTTTACTCCTATTTTATCCAAAATATTCCATTATTGATTTTACCCATTGTATTGTGACTTCATCTTGTATTAAACTCGTCATTGTGTTATATTCCTATAATGTTAGGGATCTTAATATTATATATATGTGGTTATAATACATATTGCGTTAAGCTTTCCATTCTACACAATAATTTGTAATCCACAATTATTGATATTAATAAATTCTCATTTTCTGCCCGTGGTATATTTTTACCATGCAGATCTCGTGTTCGTGTATGATTTTCATATTGCCATATTATTCTTGTTCCTTTATTTACTAATGGTGTGGTATCGATTCAGTACATAATTCTGAACAAGTGGTATCAGAGTGATGTTCTTTCAACTAATTCGATGTTTGATTTTTTGTGATAACAACTATGAAGTATGATATTCTGCTACGAATCGCAACACATTTTTTCCCTTTAGCTGGTAAAGATACAAGCAGTGCTCGCTCAGATAGATTTAGATGATGTGTTGTTGAGATTTGACAAGATGCCCTTAACTTGGTCTAAGACACAACTTAAGGATTGAAAGACCCTATCATAGATACATTTTCATCTTTCGAATAACATTTTTCAGGACGTTTTAAAGAAAAAATCTCCACTGCATTATGGTTGAAATTGGAGCAATTACACATAACGAAGAGTCTATCGAGCAAATTGCATATGAAGTAATGCCTCTATTCCTCTATTCTCATTGTACAACATAAGGTACATCACTAGAAGATTACTTGGCTGTTTTTAAGGAAATCATTGCTGATTTGGAGACCTTAGAGATCAAGTATGATGAAGAGGATTTAAGGTCGATATTATTGTGTTCGTTGCCCGCTTCATATATGTTTTTTAGAGACACGATCTTAAACAGTCATCATACTCTCACCATTGAATAAGTTTATAATATTCTATTCTCATAAAAGAAGGTGAAACATCTTGTTGAGTATGAGGCTCATGAGATGACCTTGTTGCTGATGGTGCTTATGAAAGGGGTAGATTAATACCTAATTACAGTAATAAAGTCTGTAATTATTGCAAGAGACAGTGGCACATTAGGAAAGATTGGTATAAGTTGTAGTAAAAGAGAAAATTAGCTATTGCAAATCAGAATGAAAAATAATCAGAAACTTTAGGTGAAGCCAGAATTGCAAAAGATTGCTACAAATATGGTGAAATTTTAGTCATTTCTGATGGTAACTTTAAACCGACGAAGATTGGACTCTTGATACAGCCCGCACTTTTCATATGTTTCCTAATCGAAATTCGTTTTCAACATATAAAACAGTTTTCAAAGGTGTGGTAATGAGAAATAATTCACCATGTAGGATATCTGGTATTATAAAGGTCAAAATTAAGATATTTGAAGGGACTGTGAGGATACTTGATGATGTGAGACATATTCCTAATTTGAAAAAAAAAAAATCTTATCTTCTTGAGTACTCTTGATTCAAAAGGGTACATGTACACTTTGAAAACCCAATATTGGCTAACTAAGAAGAGGTAAATTGGTTTTTAAAATTTTTTCATTAATAACACAAGTTTTAATGCAATTAGTGAGCAAAAAAACGAAGACAACTAAACACAAATAAGCAAGTGGAACAACGTAATTTGCACAAACTAAAGATGTTAAGTAAAAGGGATAGAGTGTACAAACAGTATAGTATGGAAGTTCGATCCAATGCAATGTTCTACGTCCCCCATTACCAAGCTCTCCGGCATGAGCAGGGCCTTTTTCATGTGTTGTTTGACTTATGGTGCAATCTAAGCCTTTACAACGCTTTCGATGACTTACAAACAAGGAGCACCGATCTTTTTACAATGTTGAGTTTCACGGGGCCTCAACACGACCCAAACTATTGATCTTTACGGGATCTCAATATGACCCTCGATTCAAAAGAGTTTTACAAGTGAAATCCTCTCTTCTTTGATAAATAATGGATTCAAAGTTGAGAACAAGAAGAGAAGAGGGCAA